GGGGGGGGGGCAGGAGTCGGTCAGGCGCAGACGCCGTGAGGCTGGGCTCGGCTCGGCTCGCCCGGCGCTCGGCTCGACGCTCGCTCGCTCGACGACGCAGCCAGCCCGAGTCCCGAGTCCCGCCCGAGCGTAGAGCGTGCCAGTCAGTCTGGAAAGAGGGACGGGCGCGAGTCGATCGAGGCCGCCGCACCGCTTGCCGCTGTATAGCGCTGCTGCTGGGTCCCGCGCGCGACCCCCGAGCAACAACAACAACCAGTGCCTGGAGAATGACATGAGCTCGGGTCTGCAGTGCGACCGAGTCCGCGGCCGAGTGACAAGGCGCAGATAAGCTATCGGGGGCGCCCCCGCACCGTGTTTTATTGTGAAGTGGTGCAGCAGCAGCAGCAGCGCCGCGCGAGACGGGCCGCGAAGCAGCAGCAGCGCATCGCCCGTGCGTCAGTGTCAGTGATTGTGTGTGCGTGTGCGCGCGCGTGCGAGTGCGAGTCGTCGTTTGGTTGATTCCGTGTGGAAATGACGTCCAGTGGTGTCGATTGAAAGGAATGCTGCCGGCTCGTCTGCCCCCAGGATCTGGATTAGTGACGGGCCCGCCTCCATGGATACGCGGCAAGGAGAGGTTAGTTTCCACCGTTGTAGTAAAGCCTTTGGGGCCCGACTGCCTCCTCCTCGCCCGCTGCGTGCGCGCGCTCTCGGGCAGTGCCTAACGGGTCAGGGCGGCCCAGGTAAAGCCGTCCGAACTCTACACAGCATCGCCACCACAAGAGGGCATGGGACTATTATTAAGCCGTGTACTCCAGGGAGGGGAGAGGGGGGGGGGTCTGGACCAAAAAGACAAGAAGGGTCCGCGCCAAACCGCAGGCTTCCCGTGTCTTTTACCCGGTCATTGAGGCTGTGAGATGGCGGTGGTGGTGTTTTGGGTTTTCGTGGATTTATTTTATGTCATTTAATATGCTTGAGTTATGTGGAATTTCATGGTGAGAGATGGGATGGGGGGGGGGGGAGATTGTTTTGTTTTGATTGACACTAAGAATCTCATTGCTGTCTCGAGCCCAGTCGTGTCGTGGAGGTTTACTACTGCAGCGAGGGTGGTCCTGTCCGACCTACGCGTACCTCTCTGTAATTACACGTGGTGTCACGTGATGAAATTAGAAAACGGGGGGGGGGGGGGTAATGGGAATGGGAAAGCAGTAGCCGTTGGTTTCGGTGGTACATATTGCAGCTCAAAATGAAACATGGTGGCCATCACGAATCAAAGGTGGACGATGTCTCTATTCGTGGCCGTCACGAGCGTGAATCACCCGCTACTGATAAGGAGGTATACGGGTTGGGCAAGCCATAAACATTGCCAAATCAGCCAAGAGAAGGGGGGGGGGAGGAGGAGGAACTGGCAACGCAGTGAGGGAGGAAGTCACCGTCATGGGTACACGTTGCCCTGGCGCCCATGCCGGTGCTGGACTCCATGAGGGGCAGTGGCCGCTGCTGGCCCCCCATGCGCCCGGCCAGGCTCGCTCGCCCGTGTTTAGCCCAACGAACTGCACCTGCTATGCTGCCAGCAGTTTGGGGGGG